AAGTATTTTGTGAAAATTGTGCCTTAAAAGTGCTTTCTAGAAGGAATTTGTGAAAACTAATCCTTAAAAGTGTTTTCTGAAAATAATTTGTGAAAGTTACTCCCTAAAAGTACTTTCTGGAAGTATTTTGTGAAAGCTAGTCCTTAAAAGTATTTTTTAGAAGAAATTTGTGAAAGCTACTCCCTAAAAATACTTTCTGAAAGTATTTTGTGAAAATTGGTCATTAAAAGTGCTTTCTGAAAGTAATTTGTGAAAAATGCCCCATAAAAGAGCTTTTTGAAAGTATTTTGTGAAAACTGCGCCTTGAAAGTGCTTTCTAGAAGTACTTTGGTGAAAATTGATCATTGAAAATGTTTTTTGAAAGTATTTATTATTATTATTATTACGATGATCAACCTTGTAGAAGCATGGGCTGCATGGGAGGCTATCAACATCGCGATTAACTTCAAGGACCAGCAAATCACCATCGAAGGAGACTCTAAACTGCTTATAGATTGTTTCAATGGTTGAGTCTCACCCCTATGGAGATTGTTTAGCATCATTAGGGAGTGTCGAAACCTTGTTGAGTTTTTTAACCTTAATATAATATTCAAGCATATGTATCGGGAAGCGAATCAGTTGGTTGATTGATTAGCTCATAAAGCTCTTAATAATCGAGAGAGTAATAGTGAGTTAAGCACATGTGGTTTTTATTTTATTTGTGAAGCGGATGTAAGGAAAAGAGATACGCTAAGTTTATGTAGCTCACCTTTTTCCATAAAAAAAAGAAAAAGAAAAAAGATGGTTCTGAGAAAAATGTATGAGTGAAGTTTATCTATAGAGTTGAGGAGCAGCCATATGATAAGTATAAGGAGGAATTAATAATTATGGGGTGGACTTTGACCCATTTGTCTTGAGGTATGAGTGAAGTTTATCTATGCTCATGTTCCAAGGATGGTTCCCAGCATTTTACTACTTGTAACCAATTATGTCATTTTCTAAGTCAGCCTTGAACTTGAACCAAAGTATATATGAAAAGTCAGTCTTCAACGGCGGTTGATCAGCCATGGAATAGTTATTGAGAGGGAGGAATAATAGTAATTATATATAATTTGTGGACTTGACCCATCACTTTGACTATATATCTTCCACGTGTTTATGCCAAGGAACACATTATTAGTGAACATATGTAATTCATTCTTAAGTCAGCCTTGAAGATATCAGTCAATGCCAACACTCTCAAAAATTTTGGATATTATAATTCCAAGTGTGAATTTGTCTGACACTGGGTCTTTTGATGGGTTTAGGGCCCATTACGTATCACATATCTTACCCATGTTTCAAGGGGGGGACCGCTATTGAGGCCCTGTTTGTATTCTTTCAGTTTCTGAACTCCTTTGACTCTTACGGTGTCATCGATCTTATTCACTGCGTTCGCAACGGAAGTCATATTGGTGATATTTTGCTTAATTGTATCCGTCATTGAGCTAACTGAGTTTGTAACGGAAGTCATCAGGGGTTGGTAAGAATAGGCGAACCAAAGCGGGGCATTTAACAGAGAGCTTCAAAATGAACCTGATTGAGGTCGTTGAGAAGAAGCCCGGTGAGAAGATGCCGATGAGAGCGGAAAAGTAAAAGAAAAGGAAGAAGAGGAAGGAGGGAGAAAGGAAGTTGCTACTACCATTGAGAAAGAAAAGCGGTTGCACATCTTTAGAACAGCAGCGGCGGTATAAGGAAACCCTAGATCTTTAAATTTGATTTATGAGTAAAATTGGCATTTCTGTTAAAACAATAGAGGTAGCATTAAACAATAATCAAACAATAGGGTTATACTTAATTAACTAAATCATAAGGATAATTTAAGAAATTTACCCTATTTTAAAAATATATGCAAAACAATATGCGGGTCTACTACAGAATAAAACAAAGAGGACAGCATCAATAATTCATCAAAATTTTTAATATTATTTATCTATCCAAAAACTAAATACTTCATTAAATTATTCTAGGAGTTCCTTCTATAAACAATATAGTCAAACTGAAGGATCAAGGATGAGCACTGTTGCAACTTAATTCCCAAACCATCATTCAGCAATAACTGTTAATCCTCCTTGGTGTAAGGGTTTCTTAGTATTCAACATACTAGTGTTGATTGAAGTTGCAGAGGCAAAAGGATTGGGTGGCATGCTCAAGCTTTCTGCATCTCCCTCCAACATCTGAACAACATCCTTCATTGAAGGACGATCTGCTGGGTACCATTGAATGCACCAAAGTGCCACAGTAGTTAATTTCTTTACTATCCTAGAATTAGAATCTCCATCTTCATCTTCCCGGATTTCCAACTCTTCCCCTTGAATGAGTCGATTGTAAATCCATTCAGGGAAGTACACTTGGCTGGTCCTCTCTGCTCTAAGATCAATGTTCTTTCTCCCTCCAACCATTTCAAGCAACAACATTCCAAAACTATAGACATCCGATTTATAAGAGACATTCCCAAAGTTCCTAGAAAACACTTCAGGTGCAATGTAGCCCATGGTCCCTCTTGCAGCTGTCATGGACACAACACTTACATCCTTGGAGCACAATTTTGCCAAACCAAAATCAGAGATCTTTGGGTTGAGGCTATGATCTAACAAGATATTATGGGGTTTAATATCGAAATGGAGGATACGTTGCTCACACCCTTGATGAAGATAGTCGATTCCCTTCGCAATTCCGACAGCAATAATATGAAGCTTCTCCCACCCAAGGGAAGGATTCTTGGCATCCCTTGAAAAGATGAATTTCTCTAGTGACTCATTGGGCAAGAACTCATAAACGAGAGCTCGTCTGAATCCATCTGCACAGAAGCCCACTAGACGGACCACATTGACATGGTGAATCCTACCAATGGTTCCCACTTCATTAATGAATTCCTCCCCATTTCCCTTGGAGTTGTTCAGGACCTTAACTGCAACTAGAATGTCATTGGAGAGATTGCCTTTGAAAACACTGCCATAACCTCCTTGACCCAATTTGTCCTTGAAATTATTTGTGATCCTCTTAATTTCAGCATATGAGTACCTTGAAGGCTTGAGAGCTTTGTAGTCATCCAAAAACTTCTCAACCATGGCTTGATTCTGCTTTTCCACTTTGTTTGAAGCGTAGACATGATAAACTTTGATGAGCATTAATGTTGCTACTACAAGAAGCACGATGCCGATTGTTATACCTAAACAAGCAATAGATAGTAAGAAACAGAGCAACAGCTTCTTAATAACAAAGATGAAGCTTTAAAGGTTACGCTCAGATTGGAAAGAGTGTATATACAAATATGTACAGTAAAAATACAAGGTTTATCAATACAAATTTGTATTTACGCTCTTCCCAAACTTAGCCATAGATGCAAATCAGCTTTACCTATCACGATTTGCTTGGTAGATGAACCTGCAAGCAGCCATGACATCAATCAGCTGTCAGTCAATATATGGTCAATTCTTAAGTAGATATCATCTTTCTTTGATGATTATCAAATGCCCTGTTTTCAAAACTGGACCGGACGGTCCAACTGGAAAAACCGGGAATCGGTCACTTGATCGGTTCCGTTTCACCTAAAACTGTTTTTTGGCAAAAAAAAAAACTGTTGATCTGTTCAGTGGACCACTGACCCGAGCAGTTGAACCATCGAACCGTCAATCTAGACAACAGTTTTGACCATTTTTTGCTTTTTTAATTTTTTTTGTCAGAATGGGCTGTCCATTCAACCAGGGAACCGGCCTTTTCTGTCTGGTCCAGTTTTAAAAACCATGATCAAATGCACTTATTTGCACCTTAAACAAGTAAATTAGACAATAGCTTGTATTGATTGTATTATCAAGTCATAATTTTTTTTTTCTGATATTTTTCAAGAATGAAGATACAATTTGGTAGGACTTGAGCTACTACATGTGGCAATATAATCTAGATTGGTGGAATGCAATTCATGGAGAAGATGAGAGCTGAAAGTCTAAGGGTCCATTTGGTTCACAGTTGGAATCGAAATCAAAATAAGAATTGAAATACTTCAGAATGGGAATGAATCGAATGAATTATTCTCATAGTCTGTTTGGTTCAGATAGGAATCAGAATGGACATTGTAATAAGTTGGGGTTTCATTCCCAACAAAAAGGAGAGAATCAAATGGGAGATTGTCATTCTACCAGGAATGGAAATGGGATTCTGATTCTGCCCAACCAAACAGTTAAAATCAAAATGACCCATTCCAATTCCTATTTTGGATCCCTATTCCCACAAATCAAATGGGCCCTAAAATCTAGGCATTTAAACATACACATGGGCCCTAAAATCAAATGGGCCCTCTATTCTCTCCACATTCCAATAAAAATGGGGCCATAATTTATTAAGATTTTGGTTTTTTCAAATTAAACAATATTTATATCAATAGACGTGATTTCAAGCAAATTAAAGAGAGGGGAATAAGGGGAATTTGATGATTTCATTAAATTTCTACAATAATAATTTATTGATAAAAGATATTACTAATTAGTGTAATTTACTAATTTCTATAAAATCAATAATTATAGTTAACAATTATCAAATAATATAGGGAAACTCTTTAACTAACAATCCATAATTATTTATTAAATAAGTAATTAAAAGATTAAAAAACTAATCTATGAAAAAAATATTCTCCAAAACCATTTAAATAATAGTCCATTATTATTTTTATTATTATTCAACTAAATAATTATTAAAAAAATTAGGAAAATTAAATTAAGAAACTAATCTATCAGAAATTTTTCCATAATTATTTAAATAACAATCCATTATTATTATTATTTCAATAATTAATTATTAAATAATTTAGGAAAATTATTAAGTCTATCCACACTAATCTAGACCACTTGGTTGACTTCGATCAACCTGGTTTTACTTTAATTAACAACAACTGGTTCACTTTTAATTAAAAATAATGTAATTTACCATAATTACATTAATTTACTTTAATTACATTTACTTTGATTAATAGTTAATAATTTAGACTTAAAAAGTAGATAGTTTACATTAATTTATTGTTATTGTAAATAATTAATTTACTACACATTACTACTAATCAATAGCAATTTCAATAATTTTTTGAAAATTATCATAAAATATTGTAATTTATTGTTCTTTAATTTACTGTTAATTAATTGTAGGGATGGTGATTTTTCCTATAAATTGGGGCCCTATCCTGCCCTGCCTCGAACAAGGCAAGTTCTCTCAAATCTTAAATGGGGATGGGTAAAGACAAGTGGGGACAGAGAACATTTTTGTCCAAAATTAGGGATGGGGTTTGCATACAATTCCCCAAACCCGATGGTAAATTAGTAAAATATAATTTAATATTGATTTTTAAAATATCTCTAGGTTTTCCTCATATTCTTATAATCCTAGGATATCATAATTTCATTTATACCCCCAAACTGTCATAATTCAATTCCTAAAATACCCCCATGTTCTCATAATCCTATTTGTAAAATATACATAAATTAATATCTTTTTTTATATGATTGCCTTAGGGTAGAGAAAATTTGGAGATTCCCCATCCCCACTGAGAAATGGGTGCCTTGTCCGGAACCCATCCTGCCACTGGTCAAGGGAGATGGAATAGAATGTCTTGACTTATGGAAGCGAAGGGACAAGGAGAGTGCCCCCACATGGGAGTGTAGGCCCAATACCGTGTAAAATTTTCAAATTCGATAACCGACCTGCATCCTAATACGTGGATGGGTCTAAAGAAAGATAGAAATCAGGCCCAATCCAAAAAATTTTCAAGCTAGGTTTCAAAACTATGATAGCAACTATCATCCTTTGCTAAGATCACATCCGATTTGATCGCAGCATTTGCTCCCACAATTGGTAAGGAGTGTAATATTTGATTATGGTATCATGCCAATTTCATCTTCTCACAAAAGAAAAAGTAATTTATTATTTATATTTAAATTAAGGCAATTAATGAATGACACTAATTTACCTTGAGGCGGAAAGTCGAAGCATTGAATTGTGGGAGCACCGACACTAGTGTGGTTGTTCAATCCGCAGGCTTTGCTCTCGGCTTCGCATTTTGAACAATCTGGTGCTTTCCATTTGATGAGTAACGCCAAATCCCAGTTTGGATCATAAGATGATTTAGTGTCCACTGAGACATTCCCAAATTTTTCGCAAGACGATAAAGGCGGCAGGAAGTTCATCGACCTAGTGGAATCAACGGCATAAACTGGGTGAGCCGCAGAGACTCGTAGGCAATTGATCGGATACACTCCATTTCCTGATTCTGTGGCCGAGCAATTGAATAAAGAGTAGCTTTTAACATATTCATACCGCCGTTGGAAAGGAGATGATGAGAAATTGAGGTTTAGAAGCCGTTTAACGATGCAACCATGGGGATCATAAATCTCTATCACTTGGGATCTGTAATCAATGGCTTTTACGAAGAAGATTCCTGAAAACGGTAGATTCAGAACTGTTTCTTTGTTTTCGGAACAAGACAGCTCGAACCCAGGATAGCCACAGTGATCGGGCTGTCGCCCTCTTAGCCAGAATGGAAATCGGACGGAAGGGCCATTACCATGATCCTTGCAGCCTGATACCGTGCAGTTATCGACACTTACTGATGCTGAGATGAATACGAGCAAGGCAAAGAGGATGAACAACTGCACATAATTTACAGGTGGCTGTATGGTAGTACTAATATAACCCATCTCCCAAAGGTTCTACTATTCACTAGCAGTGAAGAGATTGGTTAGAATATGTGGTTTCTGGGATATATGGATTCGATCGGTCAGGTTAAGTATGAAGTGGTTGCCGTGGCTAGCTCCCACCCGATCTTTTTAATTTATTGTCAACAAACCTAAACTGAAATAGCCTGGCTGTGATAATACAACTTCTTGGGCAGAGACTAGAAAAGATGAAGGGGAAAGAAATTTAACAAAGAGACTTGACGAATTCTCTCTTAAGAAATTCAAGGTGTACCACCACAATACTTCGATATATGGCTGTTATACACGGTTTTCATGGAGTAGCTGATTTTTGAGCCCTTGCGACCACTCAATGAAATACGCATAGGTCAGCGATGGAAAAAAAAAAAAAAAAAGAATGCTGCGACCACTACCTTGCCGGCCGGTTGCCCGTTGACATATTTCCATCGCTGGCATGTCGGAATTTCATCAGGAGCATCAAGGCAGAGCTGATCACAGCAACAGCACTCTGGAGTTTGGATAAGGGGAAGAAATGATTAGTATTTGCATAAGATATTGGCGAATAACATTAGGATCATTGTTTTAAATTTACGTCACGAATGCTATTTTTTAAAATAATTAGAGTAAACGTGTTGAATCCTTCAAACCAAGTATAGCTTAAATCACATCTGTGCTCTATGAACGAGTTTAAATCAACCCCTACCTCCTACAAGACTGCACCCCACAACGTCACACATCCCCACCGTGTATTTGGTAACATCTTCTGGTATTATCATCGGGAGATGTTCCCAATACACGGCGGGGATGTGCTGTGGGACATTGTGGGGGTTTGATTTGATTTCTCTATGAACGCCCTGCATACACATCTCAGCGTTCAGCGTGTATTGGATACACCTCCCGAAATTGTCATTGGGAGATTTTTCCAATATACGGTTGGATATGTTGTGAGGTGCATATATGAATTCTTTCATTTATATAGTCAGATTCATTCTAAAATAAAGGAAACAGTACTAGCTACTAATCAATGTGCATGATATGGCCACGCATAGAGGTGTAAGTTGGGCCATGCCGCCCATGGCCCGGCAGGACGGCCCAAAGGTCATGCCAAGCCCGGCAAGATGGTTCATGTTGTGCTAGGCATAGGGTTTTAGGTTCACGGGCTGGGCCGGCATGGCACGACCGAGCAGGCTGTGCTACCCGTGGCCCACGGCACGGCCCATATATATATTTTATATATATTTCTATAATATTATAGAACTTATAATTATATAATAATATATAGTATATGATGCAGCACGATCCGTGCACTCCTAGCAGGCTGCGGACTGGCTCCTTCTTGGCAACGAGCGACACTTGAGAAGATGAAGAAGAAGGATTCCCGGGGATTTGCCTGGCGGGAATACTTCGAAAGCTTAAGTTAGAACGCTGGGGAAGAAGAAGAGGGAGAGAGAGTATAAAAGGCTAAGAGTGTAGATCGCGCTAGATCACTATGTCTCGAGATTAGCTCGTGAGCAAGTAAGAGTGCAAGTTCAGATCTAT